GGAGAGAGAGAGAGAGAGAGAGGAGAGAGAGAGAGAGAGAGAGAGGAGAGAGAGAGAGAGAGAGAGAGAGAGAGAGAGAGAGAGAGAGAGAGAGAGGAGAGAGAGAGAGGGAGAGAGAGAGGAGGGGAGAGAGAGAGAGAGAGAGAGAGAGAGAGAGGGGAGAGAGAGAGAATGGGGGGGGGGGGTGAAAGCGTTTAATTGCGTCAGCAGGGAGGACTGGGTTCGAATTCGGATGGTGAAAGTCTTGGAGTGCCACAATGATGGAGCACTAAAAGAAATGAGCAAGACTGACATGGATTGCAGAGAAGTGTTTAAAACGTTATCCATTCATTAACTGTAATAGTATAACTTATGTTTGGGTCTCCATTTACTTCTTGGGTATTGTCTATAGTGCATTACTCTAAAATTATTAAATTACTTGGCAGTAAATCCCCCCCCCCCCTTCCCCCTGATACAGCCAATGCATTCCTGCAAGTTGTTAACCTTTAAAGGGCCTACAAATTCTACTTTCAACCTGACTAGCAGGGTTGCTGTTGGCAAGTGCTCTTACAGGATACACTCAATTTTACTGAGAAGTCTAAAATTAAAATTGAAGACCCTTATATGAGCTTCTGGGATATCTGAAGAACAAGATATGGATAATAAAGTATCAATATAAGGTTATAGAAACAGAAGTTTATTGTTGCCAATTTTTCCTTGAGTTTCGTAGCACACTGTTACAAAAAGTTTTTTTAGAGTTTTATAGAGATGTTACTGTTATCGGATTTTTCGCCCAATGGTGGGGCATTTTTGTTTTTTATACAAAGTTTTTTAAGGTTTTATTTTTCCTTTATTTTATTTTTTTCACCTTTTAAAACAGGCATGTCGGAACTGATCAACTAAAACCTGACTCCCATTCTCTTCTAGAACATTCTTGGTTGACAATGTTCTGACCTGCCGTTGGCGTTAATTATAATGAACGATGTGTTGCATTATAATCAACTGCATTAATAGTAGGCTACTGTCTTATGGGTTTTTTATATTTTACGATTTTTTTTAGATTTTTTGTATATATATGACACCTACTTGACAGACTGTTCACGTGGTTGTGGTCGAACCTAAACTATGCCGCATCTATTGGAGTCCAAAAAAATAAAGAAGAAAAAAAAAGACAGCGTGCAAATAATAAATGATGTCCTTTACAAATCTTGCTAATTAACCTTGAAACAAAAATAACCAAATGACAGCAAAAAATCAAAACTCCAATGACTGGGCACAAACTGTAAAACTAAAAAAGCAACATGCAGCACTGATAATGGGTTGTTAAAATACAGGAGGAATGCTTGCTGTAAGGCATGTTTACATGTCCTCCTTCTTCTGAGCAGCAACAGCAACAGCCACCACCTGCTGCTTGGCCTGATGGGCCTGGAGCACAGCCACAGCTTCCTCCACCTTTGCCTTGAGGGAGTTGCGATCCTCAAGCATGTGCAGAAGATCAGAGTTGTCAATCTCCAGCAACATGCCAGTGATCTTACCCGCAAGCTCGGGATAGATGTCGCGGATGAGGGGGAACAGACGTTCTCCCAGCATCTGCTTCTGCTCCTGAGGCAAGGCAGAGGCCAGCATAGATGGAGTGAGTGGCTCTTGTCCCTGGATGTGCACAGCGGGCTGGACAACAGGGGCCACTGCAGCGGCTGAAGCTGGGCCGCCTCCAGACACAGCTGGCGGATTGCGCATGTTGGTTGTATACTTGTAGTTTGAGGCGCGTGCTGCAGATGAAAGTGCAGGTGGAACTGCACTTGCATTTGGTGCAACAGGCCTGGCTGCTTGCATCAAGTTCGGGATTTGCTGCTGCTGAGCAGTTGCAGCTGCTGCAGTAATAGGACGGACATTGCGTGGTGCTGGCTGTGCTTGGCGAGGGGCTGATCTGTAAGGGGCAGCCTGCATTGGGAAAGCACTGGCTGCCTGAGCACCTGCTCGCACCTGGGCCGTTGGCTGAGTTGGCCAGCGAGGAGTTGCCCTGATCTGAGCCATCTGTGGTGAGTAGAAACGCTGAGCTTGTGGCATGGTAGGCATGAAGTAGCTGGTGCCACTGGGTTGGAACATTTGTCCCATCTGTTGCATGCGCATACCAGCCACACGCTGCATGTACTGAGATGCCAGATGTGCCTTACGATCCTCACGACGTTGAGCGAGGGCGACATACAGAGGCTTACTGACCAGGATGCGGCCATTCATCTCTGTAACGGCACGGGTAGCTTCCTCAGGTGTTGAGAAGCAAACGAATCCGAAGCCCTTTGAGCGGCCATCTTCAGTCATAACCTTGGCACTTGTGATGGTACCATAGTTGGAGAACTCCTTGCGGAGCCTTTCATCATCGATGGTGTCATCCAAATTCTTGATGTACAAGTTCACTCCTTGGTATCTGTTCATGCGCTCGATCTTCATCATCTCGAACTTCTTCTTCAGCTCCGCTTGGCGTTCTCCTCTCTTCTGAGCCCTGCCTACATAGATCTGCTTCCCATTCATCTCCTTTCCATTGAATTCCTCACAGGCTTTCTCAGCTGCTTCAGGTTCTTCAAATGCAACAAAACCAAAGCCCTTGGATTTGCCATCCTCATTTGTCATTACTCTATGACTGGTAATCTTGCCAAATTGCGAGAAAATCTCGTAGAGCTTATCATCATCCAGGTCATCACCGAAGTTCTTAACGTACACATTAGTGAAACGTTTAGCCTTCTCTCCCAACTCTTTCTCCCGTTCTGCCCTGGGGATGAACTTGCCTACGTAAACTTTCTTGCCATTAAGCAACATACCATTCACTTTCTGGATAGCACTCCTTGCTGCTTCCTCGGTTTCAAAATGTACAAATCCATAGCCTTTGGAATTGCCAGCCTCATCTGTAGCAACCTGTTGAAGAAGAGAAAAAGAAATTTAGTTTCATGGATACGGTTCACCAAATTTTCAAGTACATTAACTACTTATATATACACATGATGGTAAAGTGAAAATATATGCAATTATGGCTGATAATTCAATTTTTCAGAAATTTTGTCAGGCTCTGTGGTATCACAGGAAATCATGCTTACCTTGCAGCTGAGAATATTCCCAAATGCAGAGAACGTATCATACATGGCCTTGTTATCAATAGATTTATCAAGGTTCTTGATGAACACATTGCCAACACCAGACTTTCGAAGGGAAGGGTCACGCTGCGACCACATGATTCGGATCGGCCGACCCTTCATCACATCAAAATTCATTGTGTCTAGGGCTCGTTCAGCATCAGCTGGTTGCTGGAAGTTGACATAAGCATAGCCGAGAGAGCGGCGAGTAATCATGTCTCTGCACACACGAATGGAGAGCACAGGTCCAGCAGATGAGAACTGAAAGCAAAGGGGTATTGTTATACTTCACAGAAGAGGTGGGCGACAAAGTAGGGAGGGATTAGTGAACAAGTGTGCCTACAGTTTGTAAAATTGATGGATACACAGTAATATCATATTACCATTAAGAAGTTGAGGAATGACATCAAAACACCTGCAGAATAAACTGTACTAAACTAAAGATTGGGAAAGCATATAGCAACTTCATGTGCTTATCATTTCAGACACCAAGTAGGGTAGGACAAGAGATAAGATTCTGAACAGAGGTATCAGCAAACTGAACATGTGGTGACCAGATCATGGGTCAAGAGAAGGCAATAAGTCCTATAAGGTAGAGAGCACACACACAATTTGGAAAATTTCCTCATGTGTAACTTCCTAGATCGGAGTCTGCTGGCATAAAACCTGAATTAAGTACTGAGATTAAGCATGGTCTGAACAAGGCTGTATTCTATTAAGCTCCAAGTGTAAACAATAGCGGAGGAAACAACAATCCAGGCAACCAACCAATCCCATCCAATGGCTTTCACCTCGGAGCTGGCATAAGATGGCACTCACACGACCCTTACCAACAATGTTCGTGTTAAGAAAATGAGTTTAGGGAGAGTCACGCATTTTTTAACACAGATCCATTATTTGCAAAGGACATGAAAGATAAGCCGTCTGCTGTCCTCTCAGGGATGCCAACCATCGGAAGGACTGGGCAGATGCCTGCATTATTTATTCCTCAACTAATGGTAACACCAGGAAATTAACAGAGTCCATCCTCATCTAGACTCGCCTAATTTCAACCATAATTTAAGCTTCATTCCAACAGAGACAGCTCTAGCAAGCTACACCTTTCAGCAGTAGTCCAAACCTGTCCGTCCTTGCCACCTTAGAGAACACAAACCTTAGCCAACAATACATCTTGCCACCCACTGTGTTGTTCCGTCTGTTGTTACTTCCTTCATAACCTGCATTCTTGTCCATTTGCTGGTACCTAAAGTAAACTGAATTGATATATTTTTCCCATTCCTTTAGCAGGCTAATGTTTACAATGAAAGTACTCTTGATGCCACTTCCTCACAATGGAATTTTGGCAAAGAAGTATATTGGGGCTGATATACTACATTTCTAAATTCCATTACTTCCCTCCACAATTTTTGTTTTATAAAATCTAAACATCTAATGGAGACATTCTGCAGAACGAAGGATACATACCAAGACAAAATAAAACATACACGTATACCTACAGCCGATTACAACACCCTTACTTTCCCCATGACTGCAACTTGTAAGTAACAGCCGTCACCTCTCAAACATTTCTGTAACCTCCTGAAAATATAAGTAGCTACCAACTATTATTCCACACATTCATTACTTTCATAAAAGCATACTTACAACTTCTTTTTGGACAAGTCACAGGGTGGTTAGGAAGGGGGGGTTTACTGGCCCCTGCCACGTGATTGACGAGGGTCGAGGATTCTGTCTTTGTGTTTAAGCTTAAAAAAAAATTCAAGTTTTTTTTTGTAAGTCATATAGGCATCAACAAAATATCACCTGAAGGCCTGACATCTGTACAGTCCTAACCTTTTCGAAGAGCATGGCCTCTGTACAGTCTGCATGGAGATCCCCCACATAGAGCGAGGCTAGAGGGTAGCTAGGGCCACTGGGATTCATTCTGCAGCCAAATCACACCTGTTGGTTCAATGTCTAAATTAGTCATGGCCCTAAGTTCATGATACAACAAAAATAGGAAAGCCTTGGATTTAACTAGTATTCTCTACTAACAGTATTGTCAGTGTCCCATCAAATACTACATTCATGAGTAGAAAGTCCTATTCCGTTCCTTGCAACCTTGAATAATCTTGTCCTTTTGCTTGAGTTTTAATTTGTCTACACAAAATGTATAAATTATATTTCAAAATTCATAGAAACTTACTGCTACAACATCCAAAATGCTACAAGAGAAATTTTCAAAGTAGCTACCTGTGCAATATACAATATTAAATATATAGTTTCCCAAAGTGATATTTTTCAACTGCTATAGCTGGCAAACCATTTTCCAATGGTTACACAACTCAAAGTGTGATTTCACAATTTCAAGCTTCAGCACTATTCTCCTACGGCATGTATATATATTTTTTAATTATCATCATCTGTGCCTTAAGGATATAATATACATTTAGAACTTTATCTCTTAACGAAGAGAAAGGAGGAGGAGCAGCAGCAGCAGAAAGAGGAAGAGGAGAAGCACAAGGATGATAAAGAAGAAGCGATCTAGGAGGAAGAGAATCATGCAATAATAAGATATATAATATGGTATTTGCAATAAGACAAAATCAAAGGTTAAAGGTTAAGAGTTATAACAAAAAGTATTGTGGTGAAAAGGGGTAAAAATGAGTTACCAATTAGGATAAGTGGGCGGTAGAAGGGAATAAAGAAGAGTAAGAAAACAAAACTGGGAGAAGAAAAGCCCCCACAAAATTAGGTGAGGCGAGGGCTGAGCCCCTACATTGGGCCTCAGTCTCCATCTCCAAAGTACTCAAACTAAATAATTACCCAGGTTAATATTTGTAATCAAACAGCACAAAAACAGAAAAGTAAGGTAACCCCCACAAGTAAAAAACTTAAGGTATTAAAAATAGTAACAAAGCAAAGGATCCCAATCCCTTATTTAAAGTCCATGAATCTATTAAGTGTTAAAAGTCTAGCCTAGTTCTAGTTTCTGTACTTTGCCCACTCGAGGTATTTTGTCAAAGAACCAGTCGAATATTGCTGACCAAGTGTCCACTGCGCTTGTTTTATCAATTCTGCTTGCATAAAGATGGCTTCACACCTGCATAGAGCCATTCTTTATTAAAGAGTCAAATACAAAGCCAATCGAATATGAAAATTCAATTTCCTGGATTTAGAGAAAAGAAAAAATAAGTACCATTAGTAAGGCTGTCAATTTTTCTTTTCTTATAATATAATAATTTTACAATTTAAGTGCCCATTATTAAAGGAATGGGGAAAATGATGAGGTAAAGTAGACTTAGTAACCAACTCTTTGGGGACAAGTACTTTAAGAACAGAACACATACATTTTATCATAGAAATCATACTTAAATGGCATGTAGACATGTACTTCCCCAATGCCCTAACCCTTTAATGGATAATCCATTGAGGACTAGGTGTGGCCCTTGGCTTTTGACCTTAAAAAACACAATATGCCTTCCATTGTTTTAGTTGTTGTATCTCAAGTTTGGTTTCATTTGGCAAATAAATAATAGTGGTGCACCATACACTACTACAATGAACAGCAAGTCAACAACATTTATCATCTAGAAGTTGTAACAATTACTTCTTAGTAAAACTTTCAATTTCATTCAGCCTCTGACTTTCGAAAGAATTCTTTTAGGAATGGAATCTCCCTTCGTAGTTAAGCTGTTGTTTTCCATCACATTTGAGTCAATGAGCAACAAAACTTGTATTCCCCAATGGCAAAGTTGATAAACAGTAGTACAAAACAAAGCAAGCAGCGCTATTGATAATGAGGTGTTGTGCCATCGTTATGCCATCTCCACAGATGTTATTCACAAATAAATTTTGAACACATTTTAGCAAATGAGCTCATCCTTACTGAGGATTATCCAATATGATAACGTTCAATACTTATGCTGGTCTTAATATGTAAGATGGAATAAATTGACCTTTGCCTGAGCACAAAATACTTTGGAGGCCGTGGTGGTACTTATGCTGTGTAGCTTAAAATTATTGCCTGTCCCACATAACTACAAATACTTTAGCCCAATTTCAATGAACACTGCAATGGGATACGCAATCATTAAACTGTGGTCGTTTGCAATAGCCATATCAGTAATAACTATTAATACTGCGTGTATTGCCGTCCTATTATTAGTAATGTTTTTTATTGTATGAATATTCTAATTACTTGAAATTTACTTTGTGCATTAAATGTGGCTTTTGCCAGCTCTCGTTAAACGTTAGTTAAATTGTACAAACCTATCATCGCACCTCTGTTATTATGCTTCACCATAATATGTCCTCATGTGGTGGTACTTCCAGGGGCAGGTGTATTTTGCAATTTCTAAGACTCAGCCGGCTTTTAATATAACATTTTTTCCACATGTACACTTGTTTGTGGGCCAAACTGACTGAACAATCTTTTGTGGGCAAGAGTAGGCTTCCCCCAAAATAGGAGTTGATTGGTCAGAAAAGACGGACCATTTACTGAAGATTTCATTGGCTAGGATTTGTTGCCGTTTGCTAAACAATACCATACGCTAATTGACCAGTAACTAGCCATGTGTTGTACCCTGTGCAAAACATTTCAAAACAAAATGGCATCAGTGTTTTGTTAAAGTAGGAAAGGATATCTGAAGGCAATTTTTAAAATATCAATAGTTTTACATTTCAGACTGTGACCTCGTGTTGACCAATAACTTGCTTATTTGAGTTGCGACAGAAGTACATGGAAAAGAAGTGCCTTGGATTCATTTGCATATATCCTTTCTATATTCAAGATGGCTGAATGAAACTGGACTCATTACTAATACTTTGGAATCCTTTAATTAGTTCCAAGAAAACTCATTATGTAGGGCAATGTTGCCAAATCTCTTTTTAAATACTTAAAGAAAAAGAAAAAAAAAAACTTCTCAATGTATCTACACATTTCACAAACATTTTCTACACACAAACCAAACCAAGTACATTTAACGAACGCATACAAAAGCTCAACCACTGCACCACTAACACGCACAATTGCAATGCAAACTATCCCACTTCCCACATGAAAAGGGTGTGAGAATTTCCCTCATGCATTTATGACTCATCCCCCCCCTCCCCTCCATCATCCCTTCTACTTCTCTCATTCAGCCAATCCATTCCTCTTCAAATCATAAACAAATCATAATGATGATAATTCCATGCAATATCCGTTAACACAAAATACCAAGTATGTATGGCAAGTAGCCGTTACAGCCACAAGCAAAAAAAAATCCCTGAAATGTAATCCATGCTTTACAATCAACCAAAAGAAAAAAAAAAAGTCTCATTACGAGTGAAAATTAGGGAATAATCAACGGAGAAAATACAATTCCTTGCTTCAGGCGACACGTGAACTCTACCCCGTCACAGACCGGCCACACGCACCGGCGTCATAATCAAACAGCCTGGTCTGCGGGTACGCCAAAGCACGAGGAGCGGGGAGGGGCCTGCCGTGGCGGACTCGGACTCCCACGCCCGGCGCCTGACCCCGGCCCGAGACCAAGAGTTCACCGCGCTCGGGGACTGATTGCTCGGCCGTGATGGGGGAAGCAAGGATTCTCGCACAAAAAATAAATAAATAAATAAAAATTATTCAAGGCGAGTGCAGGAGATCCGAGAAGAGAGAAGGGAGGAAGTGGAGAGGAGAGAGAGATTAAAAGAGGAGAGAGAGAGAGAGGGAAAACAAAAAAAAAGAGAAAGGAGACGGGGAGGGAAAACGGAGATATGGAGGAGAGAAAAAGCAAGCGGAGGAAAGGAAACAAGAGCAGGAGGCATGGAGAGGAAAAAGAGAAACAGAAAAAGGAGGGGAACGAGAGGAATAAAGACATACGAGGAATGAGAAAAGAAAGAGAAAGAGAGAAGAGGAAGTAAGAGACCAAAAACAAGAAAAAAGAGAAACAAGGAGACAGAAAGCAAGAGAGCGAGCGAGCCAGAAGAGGAAGACGACAAAAAGAGAACAAAGAAGAGAAACCGACCGAGAGAGAGAGAGAGAGAGAGGGCCAAGATGAGAAAACAAACGAAGACAAGAGAGAGAGAGAGAGATCGAAAAAGAGAGAAACGAGGAGACAAAGCGAGCAAGCGAACGAACGAGAGAGCGAGAGAAAGAGCGAGAGAAAGAGAGAGAGGGAGACCGAGGGAGCCAGAGGAGTGAGAGTCGAGCCGAGAGAGCGGCGAGTGGCGGTGTGGGCGGCGCACGCGGCGGGCGGCCATGACACCCTCCCTTCCCGGCCATATGGCGCCCGTCCGTCCACTCGGCGCCCGATTTTCCTCCCTTTCCCCGTCCCTCCGCCCACCCTAAGGGAGAGGCCAGGGACGCAGGGACACACAGACACTAAGACAAAGAGAAAAGCGGCGTTTCCTCCGCCATACTCACCCGCGAGACGTCCCTTGAACCGCGAGCCGCTTTTCCGCACTTCTGTTTCTAAAACCGTTTGCAATTTTTATGGGAGGGTTTTTTCAGAGTTTTTGTGATTTTTTTTGAGATTTTTTTTTTTTTTTAGAGTTTTATGACAAAGTTGTTTATTTTTTTTATTTTTTTTTTTTTTTTCGAGTGGTGTGTGTGAGACTAATAAAATTAGCGACACACAACCACACGTGAACAGACCCTACGTTGAAATGAAATAGGGGTCCCGAGC